CGGCCCGGCGGCTCCCCCGGCACCGCCCGGGGCCAAGGGCGCAGCCGCCCCCGCAGGCGGCTCCTCCGCACGGAATCACYGGCCAGGAAACGCTGCGGGCCCCCTAATCGCATCCAGCTGGAGCCGACGCAGCCGCCCCGGGGGTCCGCAGGGTCCCCAGCCCTTCAGCCGCTCGGCTCCTGCGCCGGGACACAGGGGCTCCAGGCAGGGCAGGAGGAGCCGGGAAGCGGCGCCGTCCCCGGGGCTGCGAGCAGGAAACGGCCCCGGAGCATCGCGGGGAGCGGCCGGGGCCGCGGGCTGGGAACGCGCTGCCCTCCCTCCCGCGCAGCTCGGCCCGGCGCCCGCTTCCCAGCGAGCCGCTTCCCAGGCCGAGACCACCCTCATTAGCAACCCCAGCAACGACCCCCCCACCCTCCCGGTGCCCAGGCCCCGGTCCCAGCGGCAAATCCCGCTCCCGGCTGGGCAGAGGGCCAGGGGGCCACCCCGTGGTGCCCCAGCTYGGAGGGGCTCTCCGGTTATTCCCGGGATCTGCTGAGCTCTCGCTCAGCGCGTGATGGATGCTCCCAGTCGGGGCTGCCAGCGGGGGCGGCGCAGCCTGGGAACCCGGACTCCTGGGCCCCGGSAAAGGAGTTTTTGCAACATCCAGGCAGAGGCGGGAGGTCCCGGCGGGCCCGTGTTGACGGCGACACGCGGCCCTGGGCTCTCCGGTAATTACACGTGTGAAGGAGGAGGAAACAGAGGCTTCCTGATCCCTGCAGCTGGATTTACTGCCGCTTCCTCCCCGCTCGCGKGGAGCCCCCCGCTCGCCCCAAGTGACCCCTCGCGCCCCTGCGAACGCAACCGTTTGTTTTTCCTCTGATGGAAAAAACTGCTCCGCCACAAAGTTCCCGCCGGGAAACCTCCCTCCCCCCAACCAAAGTCTCCCTGGGTGGGGAGGGACAGGCCGAGCGCGGAGCTGGGGCTCGGGGACCCCCAGGAGCCGGGGGCAAAGCCCCGCACTGGGCGCGGGAAGCCAGAGCTGCAGGATCCGACAGCAGGAAAAGCCCGGAGTCAGGGAAGCGCCGGGATCCCCATCCCCACGCCCGTCCCCTCCCGTCCCCCGTGGGCATCGGAGCCGCCTGCCCACCAAGGGCGGCACGGGGCCCCCGGCGGCCGCCCCCGCCGCCGATTCCCGAAGGAGCCGCCGCTATCGCTGCCTCCCGGCCCCTCTCCCGGTCCCGGCCCCGGCCCCGGTACCGGCCCCGGTACCGACCCCGCTCCGGGGCGAACTCACCTGGCCGCGGGGCTGCCGGAGCCGCCGCGGGCCGAGCGGCCGCCCGGGCTGGCTCGGAAGAGGCGCGGAGCGGCCGTCGGAAGGGGAGGGAGGCCCGGAGCCGCTCTCAGGAAGTTTGGACGAGGAGATGGCTGCGGAAAAGGGATAAGAGGAAAAAAAAAAAAACCGCTCGCGCTCTCTTTATTATTTTTTTTATTATTTTTTTTTCTCTCCTTTTTTGGCCAGAACCCAGCCCGTGTGGAGTGCAACCATGGCCGGGGCCCGCTCCTCGCGGCTGCGGGCTGCCCCGGGGCGCAGAGTTGAGCTGCCCTTGTCCTTGTCCTTGCCCTTGTCGCCGTCCCCGGGCCCCGACGGCCCCCACGGGCCAGCGAGGCGGGGCCCGCCCGAGCGCCCACGACCCCCGCGCCC